TATGATAAATTAACATTGCACAAGAGCAACGGCAGTGTCTAGGTAGCCATAAATGATGGAAAAATGGCGACATCAGGAAATATATGACACTCCCTTTCTTCCATATCTTTGGGAACCACAACTTCTAGAGAAATTTGCAAATTAAGAGGATTTTTAATCTCTGATCTTGCGCTGCCAGTTACAGTTGTGGGTGAAATTCTAGTTCTTTCTGTATTCAATTGAAATGAATTACTGAATAATAACGTACGTTTGTGGTAATTGAACTAAACTTTTGTTAACAAATAAACATACAATAACGTGATGAAAAGTCAAGCAGTACTAATCCTTAAATATCCCCTAACCAGTTCGGTTAGGCAGGCAGACGGATATGGCTTATCGACTGGTTCCAACATAATTACTCAAATATATTTTATGGGGTCTGCCACGCCTCCTTCTGTGTGTTGCATACATTCGCATTGCATACACTAAACTGCATAGTATACCGTTTCACTCTTCGATACTGAGTATAAAAATGAAAAGAATTTTCTCACTCTGTACTCAAAAGGCAAATATGTGTTTAAAAAATTCAATATTTGCATGCTTATAGGAATAACGCCAGTACTGTAGTATTTCATATTTTACAGTGCTGGCATGACAATTTTCTACTGTGTTGACAGCAGATTTATTCTTTCCCTTTTACAGCACGTTGCCGTTTCCGCGAACCCTTAGTCTAATGTCTGTTTGATTTCAGGGCATGGCATACGCTGTGAAGAAGAAAAACTTATTATAAAACTTTGACAGAACTGCAAAGTTGTCAAGGTTCTTTTCTAGTCTTGTGCTTCCTTGTCTTGCATGTCGTTGGGCTGCCTGCCACATGCAGGGCTTTCCAAAAAATTATTATAAATAAATGAAAAGCTAAACATAAAAGCACAACCAAAAACCAATAAACAAACAAAATGACAGTCCCGGTACTGCCTCCTCAAGCACCAGAAAGAGTGATGGGCTTTCTGCGCACGCGATTATGGCAGCAACAGCTGATTAGTTGATTGATTTAATTCAAATCTAGTATATATGTCTATTTTTATATAATACTGTTGTTTTTGCCATTGTTCTTAATCTTTGCACCAGGCTTTCTTTTTGACGGACACAGATTATAGTCAATAATAGCCAATTCATAATGACAAGGAAGGAATGTGGATGTTTTTGCAAGGCAAAGTGAAAGGTAAATAGCCGTGAAGCAGGCAAAGACAACTTTTTAGCTCGTTGTATTTAATTCCTGGGTCTCTTGGCTAGCGTTGTAATTGGCGCTACTCGTATTAGTTGCCCGTAAAAGTGAGTACAGAAACAGAGAGGAAAATAGGTTACATACTTGTACAATGTAATCGCTCAAGTATGCCAATTTACAGGCAAAGGTATATGTGCGCTTTTTCCTAGGTTTTGTGCTTGACTGCCAGTGACAGACTGCCATAAATATGAAGCACAAACGCAAACCTTGCCTGACTCTACATTCATAAATATACAACATATTTTCGTACGTACACGTTGACAATAAAACTTGAGGAGATGCCACAAACAAAAATCGACATAACAAACTATAGCTACACACACTCGCCACTGAAAACTGGCTGAGTAAATTGTTTTTGGCGTATAAGGTACCAATACCCACGAATGCTAGAAGAATTGTGGGGCACATATAGTAGGTATTTTAAAAAGAAAATGCTCTGGCTATTAAACTGTGGACATAGTTGTCAAATCATAGAATCGATAAGGATAACTCTTGTATTACGAATTTGTTTATTTCTAAAGATATTGCAACCAAATTATATATTGAGATATGATTTATCTGGTGGTGTTGAATAACTCGTGATTTTGACAAAGCTAATTGGATATACAATTTGTGTCAAACCGGTGAATACAAAAATTTGATCGTTTCTATTATTTTTTCCGTATATGCGAGTATAATATATGTATATGCATACAATACAAATACAATAAAGTTTAGTGTTAATGTTCAAAAACTATTCGACTTTTCAAACAATTTAAAAACACCTCGACTATTTTGCATTCAATGCAATGTTACAGTTGTGGCTTATAAAGTTTGTTCGTTAAGTTTTACAACAATGCGTTTTGGATGGCCAGTTGGCAGAGTGCAGCTATTTGAAGTTTACTTCACACCCCTAAACAATTTCGGCTAAATGCCATTCAAAGCAAATCACCAGCAATCTGTGCACAGACCTGGACAAGTAAAATGGGAAAGAAGAAAATGTCTGCTAATTTATTTAAATAATTTAAAACTTTATTGGGCCCCTAAAATGCAATCAAAAATAAACAAAGCAGAATAATAGCAGCTGTGTCTAGTCAACTCATAGGTCTAAGATAGCGGCCGATGTCTTGGCAAACAAAGCAACGTGTCGGACAAAGGGCCAAAAGTTAATGTGTGCCTAAGTACCAGGTGATGGTGACCCCTCACGCACACATACACACGCAAACAATGAGGCAGACGACTAGCATAGCCATTAAAGAATCTCCATTTTTGTGGCCAACTGTTTGAGGCATCCGCAGGCGTCAAAACGCTAAATGGTGAGCCTCTGCCAGCAGACTGCGGCCACGCGCAGATGTCTCCGTGCGGCTTTGTTGATTACTTTGGGGAAATGTGCGTAAGAGGGGACGGCATGTACCTGAGTCGGTCTTGCCGGTGAGCCGACAGCCATTGCCCTTCTTCCTGCTGCTGTCATTTTCTGTTTCCATTGAAAGTTGAATGAATGGTGTGATGAGAAGGCAGCTGATTTATATGCTTGCCTTTTGAGCAATCACTCTCACTGTTTTGTTTCCCTGCTCCTTAGATTTTCTAAACAATATATTGCGCTGACTTGCGTTCCATGTTTTTCAGTTTTTGTACAACAGTATATCGTTACTGTTGTAGATATTTCCGCTAACTTCTTTTCTAGTTTTCGGTCCTGGATATCAGTATGTGAATCATCGTCTATTTCCATGTCTTGCTTCTGCTAGTATACATATTTCGAAACCTCTCCTCTATCAATTAATTGTTTGACCTATTTTTCTTCCATTCTCATCTCTCCAACAAACCCCATGTGCAAGAAGTAAAAGGGCACTTTAGTTTTGTGCAAAAGTATGTTACAAATATAAGGAGGAGTAGAAGTCTTCACAGAGTATATACTCTTGATCAAAATGTATAAAGGTTTAAGCCGACATTGCCACGTCCGTTTCTCCGGCTACACGTTGCGATTTCAATAGATTTAAGAGCTAGAATCACCAAACTGGGCCATGCACGCCCCAACTAGTGCTAAAGTACCCTCTATCCACTGGTACAAAAATTAAATATTTTTATACCCTGCACCCAAAATGTAAAATTTTACACAAGTTTAGTGCTAGATAGAAAGGGAGAAAATTTGTATAAGAACTGATGACTTAAGAACTCAACGGAATTACACACACATATCAGTTCTAAATGGCGCTTTACCTTCGAGTTCGTTTATCGAACTACTTGCAGGACTTATGACTTAAAGGTGGCTAGTTAATACCGACAATTATCTCTGTAAATAATTAAATACATTTTTTTTGTGCTCCTATTTTACGTAGTTTATGTGAACATGCTGTAGTTTTTGTATGGAGCAGCTCTGAATAGCTTTTTATTTTTTATTTAACCGTTCCTTTCCACTCCATTGTTATTCAGCAGCTTGAACAAAATGTTTCAGTTCAACATAATAAATAAATAAAATGAAATTTAATTCAATAACAGCTGTGTCGTTTGCAGCTATTGGTTATTTTTTAATCAACCATACGCACTGTTGATGCGGCCGAAATATCTCATTATGTTTGATTTACGCAGGAAAGCAATAAAATAACGCATGTACAGTGACATTTGATGCGACAAAAAACCGACAAATATTCAATATACACGCACACATATTATATATATATATATATATATACTTGTATATTTATATATATATAAAATATATATATAAGCTCTGAAGCGCTGAGGCAATATACAAAGAGTTGTCTACTTAAAAACATTTGCCATTAAAAACGCATTAACGTGACACAATGGGTTGGCAAACAAACAAACAAGCGAACAAGGAAAGGACAAATGGGCCAATGAGTGATTCAACTTCAAGTGCATTGACTTGCCAGTGTTGCGTATACGCATCGTGGGTTTCAATGCTTAAGTAAGAGTCGCCTTGTACATTTTACTTAAACGCATTCTGTCTGTACAATTACATTGCCATGACAAATACATATCAGTGGGGAATGTTGTAAAGCAGTGTGGTAGGCAGTTGGACTACTGGTATGCCGTCTCAATCTACGCTCCTCCTCCTACGCCTGTGGCGTCGCACGCCTGGCTTATGCTCATGGCATGCCAAAAACAGTTGTCAGGTGTCTTTTAGTGGCTTGTTTGTCGAGTTGAGCGTGTGTTCGGGGCGCCATTCACAGTTTGCCTCCATGTCTTTGTCAACTTGCCAATAGAATAATGAATGTCGTCGGCATTGTTGTCGCTGTCGTCGTAGCCACTGTCGTTGGGCACTTCGGCAGTCTTCGTTGGTGTTCGGCGAGCTTCGGTGTACGCTACTTGCTTTGTTGTTAGAAAAACGTGATTTATTGGATATATTTTTAGTTGTCTTAGCAACAAAGGCTTCGGTGCTGAGCATTTTATATTGCATGCTTATAGGCGCGTTTGTCATTTAACAGGGACAGGCAACAGCGAAAGCAGCAACAACAACACAGACGCGCCGCTGGCTGCCTCGCATGTGTGCAATTTGCGCTTATCTGCACAGCAGGCACTCATTGAGCCATTCAACCAGGCTGATGTTTTTGCTTACAAATTTTTCGAAATACTTTGTGCATGAAGTTGCTCGGAAGTGTTTAAGAGCACACATACCCATACCTACATACCCATTCGAGTATACCCCTAAGCACACGCACATTCTGAAACACACTTGCAGCATTACAGCCAGAAACTTTTCCATTCAATCATAAAATCAGAACTTTTACCCTTTATATAATGGGTGTGTATACAGAGCGCTGCAATTGCTGTTTATTCCCGCTACCCTAAGGGCCCGTTATCACAGCCATGTCTTTATGTAAAAATATTTTATAAACGCGCCAGTTGCTGGCTTGGATTTCTGTTAAGGTCGTCGCCATAGGGCAACTACCGCTGTGACTTCATTTGCCACTTAAGCCCACCAACCAGTTAGGAAGTGAGTCAGCCAGCCAGCCAGTCGGGCGTCCAATTTGGCTTGTTCTCATAAAAGGGTTGTGCTGTAGTTCCATGGCTTACAGCGACCGTTTTTCTCGCTTATGCGTTACACACTTTTTATTGCTAATTCAACGCTAACCAAAGATATTGTCATAGATTTTGTGCCAAATGCCGCTGCGCTGAAACATGGTGCTCACATTGGCCTCCTGCATGAAGGCTTGGTACCGCTTAAATGTTTGCGGCTCCGTTGGTCCCCAGCTGGGCAGTGGCTCGAAGGCCTTGCGTATTCGCGCACAGAGCGGTAAGCTGGAAGGTTGACGTCTGACGGCGGGTATGGCCCAGAAAAGTACTTGCCCGATTCCAAAAGCACTCAGGCACCACCCGAAAACTGCAAGGAGATATATTTTAGTTAGTGGAAAAGACAGCAGTAATACTATAATGGAAAACTATATAATAGTAATCATTTATACGGCTTAATAATTGTTTCGCCTAAGATTGTTATATCTCTGATGTATTTGTTTTAAAATTGACAATTGAGCAATGAGTTATGAGACAATGAAAATAATACTAGCCCTTAAAAACCTTTGTTTAATTACAAATTAAAGAGCAAAATACCTTTCATGAGCATCTGGAGGATGGGTTCGAATCTTATTATCTTATTATCTGCCTTTTATTAGGGAGTTTTTTGATTTCAAACTCTAGTTGTCAAGTGATTAAGAGTGCATGAAAACTAATTTCGGTCAATTTAGGCTTAGCCGCTTCCGAAATCGAAGCGTGTCTAAGTCGATTTCAAACTTATAAAGGTTTTTGATGGAATATCGGGAATACAACTTCCTACTTTTCAAATTATTTGTACACGTACTAGTGTATTTTATGCTCTTAAAAGAGCATTTTGCTTACCATACACTCCGGTCTGATATGTGTAGTCTTTGTACGTAAGTGGCTCGTACAGTATCAACATATAAAGCAGAATAGCTATCATCATAAGAGGAGTTATCAAAGCCCAGCAGAGTCGGTAGTATATAGATGTCTTGATTCCCAGCATGAACTGCACATCACGGCATATACGTTTAACACCGTAGATCCACCCAATGGCTATAAGTTCAAATATGGCCAGCACCAAAGCAACAAAAGTTGCTCCAAAGAAGTCCAGCAAGTTAAGCACATATTGACCACCGGGGGTTATATACATCAGTCCCAGAAAATATCCCACTAAGGCAATGCAGATGACAATGATCCAGTGATCCACTTTTGTGAACTGATCCTTGATTACAGTCATTATGCAAGAGGCCATTCCAACATTGCTACCAATGCCAAGGACGAAGAGCATCAGAAAGAAGAGCACCGAGAAGAGCTGAGGCAAGAATTTGAATTTCGCAATGGCATCGGGATAAGAGATGAAGGCCAAACCTGGCCCACCATTCACAACGCTACCTATATCTGTGGTATTGTTCTCATATGCCAAGTTCCCCAATATGCCGAATATAATAATACCAGAAAGGAGCGAGGTAAATGTGTCCAGTGTAGTCACAATATTTGCATCTCTGAAAGTATATGGAAAATAAATAAGCATTGTACAAAAAGAAAATGCACTGTCCCCGTACCTAAAGGGTACAAGAAAATAATGATAATAATATATGTGCAAAATGAAAAATGAAACAGGCAGCACGAGGCGTGGTAGGCCCCACAAAGTAAATAATTCTTAATCAGATTCGATCTCAGAGACTTTAAGAGCTAGTCATACAGAATTTCAATCATGAGGGTTGAATTTGTCTCACCTGTAGATGTTGTGACCGAATCGATTGTACGAGGCGTACATGACAATATTGCCAAAGCAAATGGCCAGTGAGAAAAAAACTTGTGTGACAGCGGCATACCAGACTTGGGGCTCCAGAAGCTTGTGCCATTGCGGCTTTAAGAAGTAGAGTACTCCATCGAATGCGCCGGGCAAGGTGAGTGCGCGCACCAGTAGTATAAACATGATCACATAGGGGAATATAGCCAAAAAGTAGGAAGCTTTGCCGGAGCTTTTGACACCTTTTGCCATAATGGCAGCAATGATGATCCATGCAAGTGCCAAGGCAATGGCAAGAGTCCAGCTGGGATAGCCAATACCATCATCGATGCTTGGTTTCTCGCGCAGTATGATGTTCCTTTAGACAGTAAGTAGAAAATTAGGATTTATGAAGCAGTGTTTACTTTGAAAGGTATTTTATGCTAGTTCGATTGCAGTTAGTCTTAGCATAAGTTGTGCTATTACCTTCACATAAACATTATTTGTATACCTTGTACTTGAAGTCTAAAATGGTATACTATACGATGAAATTAAAAAAAGGCGTGGCAGACCCCTAACGATCTCAGAAAGCGTAAGAGCTACAACAAAAAAATTGATATCCACATGTTCCTAAGTCCGATAATGGACGTGTTTGAATTTTTTTTCTGATGACTCCCTCGAATTCCCCGCTATAAGCGATTTTCCATAGCTCCCGTAATTTTTGGTATTTGATACTCGAGTTCGACATGTTAAGTTTCTTAAAGGTAGGTAAGTTTCTGAGAAAATTATAGCCATAAGGCTCAGCGCAGCTGTTGCTGATAATTCTGCTTCGTCTCATCTCTGTATTGCACAAATGAAGTGCAATGCTGAATGTAATGATTGGTTAACACACCGGACCGGATCGGATCATATTGATGTCACCATATCTGATGCTATTTCAAAAGAAATAAAAATAGATCAGTATTGGAGCGCCATTTATTATGCTTCGCAACATCAACCAACCAGGCTTTCGTCGAAAAATTATTGAGAAGTTGAATAGAAGCAACAATTTTAAATGGAAAATTCAGAAGCGAAGCGAAGCATTCACGGTTACCATAAAGTAGCCGCATGGACAATCTTTAGAATTGTGCGGTATATTTTGAATATCAGAATTTCTCGCATGATGTTCCTGAGTCAGAAGACAAACTGCACTAATTGTTCACACGAGCGCGATGGGGAAAGAAACCCAAGAGCATTAGCTAAAACAGGTGATGCACACGACTCAATGTACATGTATTCCTTTTGAAGGGCGAGTTCTCGTTTTTCTGATGCACCCTTCGCTCCCCCGCTATTAGTAATACGAGCGGTACTATTTATATTTCGGGAATGGGAACCCCCGTTGCTAAATGCGAAAAGCGACATTACCATTTGTTTCATTTATAGTGAGTTAAGCAAATCAATTTGTCCAAAAATTGAAAATTTCAAGAGAAGGTTTTCGACGTGGATTATCTCAAAAATAATGTGTTGATGAACTCAGTTCTTTGTATGGCGATAAGGCACCACCAAAAACCAAAGAATATAGCTGGTATTGTTAATTAAATCTTGGTCCTAGCTCGGTCCCCGACGAATTCCGTGAAAGTCGTCGAAAATCGGATGTTGTGCCACAAAACATCGATGCAGTGCATGAACTAATAAAGCAAGATCGTCATGTGACATGTCGTGGAATAGAAGCATTCTTGCACATTAGTTCCACTTCAATACATTTGATTTTGCATCAACACTTAGTTATACAAAAATGTTCAGTCGTTGGATACCCCATAATTTATCAATAGCTCAAAAAAAGCTCGCGTCCAGTGGTGTAAGGAAATGCTTAACAAGTTTGGCCGTGGTTCTTCAAACAACGTGTATAAAATTGTGACAGGTGACGCATCATGGATATATGCGTATGCAACGGAAACAAAACACCAATCGACTGTGTGATGTTCCTAGACGAGCAACATCTAACAAAAGTTGTTCCCGCTCGAAGCACTGCGACGCTAGTGGCCGCCTGTTTCCTAAGTTGAATGGGTCATGTGGCCACTGTTCCACTTGAGAAACATAGGACGGTTAATTTTGAGTAGTACACAACCGGGAAGTCTTCAGAGAAATTCGCAAAACGAACCGCCAAAGACGAATCATTCTCCATCATGACAATGCGAGCTCTAACACATCTCGTCAAATATGTGAATTTTTGAGCAGTCAAAACATCGACTTGATGACTCATCCTCCGTGCAGTCCTGATTTGGCACCCATTACTTCTTCTCTTTACCGAATATGAAAAATAAACTGCGTGGTCAACGATTTACAAGCGCCGAAGAAGCAGTTGAAGCGTTCAAAAACCATGTATTGGAAGTGTCTCAAGAGGAATGGAAAAAATGCTGCGCACATCAGGACGTTTATGCTAAAAAATGTCAAACTTCACGATGGTAATGTCACCTTTGACATTTCGCAACTAGTCTTCCCCATTTCCGAAACATAAATAGTACCCCTCGTATCTCATAACTCAGTTGGCACACGTAGACACGCATTGAAGGTACAGGTATTAAGGAGTTGGGCCCGATGGATTCTATCACTGCTTTATTATTTGATAAAAACACTATAAGAATCACAGTTTGGGTTAGTGGCTCCACTCAAATCTACCTACTCTACAGATATAATTTCTTTTACATACGTGAAATAGAATTCCGCTGAGGTTGTGCGCACATTTGACGAATTGTCTGCGGTTTGCATCATTTGTTTAGGGCCTGAGTCTAAGCAGCTAGAGCCCCATTCTTCGCGGCAATAGCTCCATGGCAGCGTGGGATAGAATGAGTCCACAAAATAGCGCAGGGTAAGTGCCATTAAGGTCGCATAGTACGTGGTGACAATTGCCGTAGCGAGCACTTGACCATAGCCAATGCCTACGTTGAAAGAAAGTTTATTAGGTGTGCTGTACATGTACGATCGATATACTACTTACCCCTCATAATAGGCGAAAAATCGTAAACCTTGACGCTACCACGGCTAGAGAATTGACCGAGTAACATTTCCAGATAGTACACAGGTTTTCCCACCAGTATTAAAACTATCAGGTAGGGTATGACAAATGCGCCGCCTCCATTGTCCAGAGCCGTGAAAGGGAAGCGCCAAACATTTCCCAGACCCACAGAGAGTGCTATGCAGGACATGAGAAATTCGACATCGTTGTTCCAGTTGTCGCGTTTCTTGTCCTGATGTTCCGCTGTCCCGTTCTCATCCTGCTGGGTTTCCGGTTTCCCTCTGGCTAATTCTCTTTTGGTTTCATGACCACTGGCTGCATCGCTTTCGATTTGTGTCGCTTTATAGGCACCTGGTATAGATATGGTAGAGGTATTTGGAGTGTCTACATAGGCGCTATTGAGGTAACCACTATCATTATGCTTGCTGATGTTTTCCATATTAGCTTTAGCTTGATCTGTCAATCAATAGAATATACGGGGGATTAACCTTCAACTTAAATTGTAATTCTCAGGCAGTCAGTATAATAGTATAGTACATGTTGAAGGCTAGTAGATTGGTGGCCAGGTTTTGTGGTTTGACGTTCATTTGATTGGCAATAGCAAATGTCAGTGGGCATAAGTGTGTGTGCTCATGTGTAGCTGTGCTGTTTCAATTATCATTTCTGGTTTTGGCGCCAAACAAGCGACAGCGGCATTCAAGTCAGTGACCCACTGACTCAGCTAGCGAGGTGGCATTACAATTCATTACATAACAATGGACGTACACGTACACCGCTAGCCCTGCACACCTTGCACCGACTCATTGAGTAAAACTGCAACAAACTGGTAACTGCCAATTGTGCCGCCAACAGCCGGGTGATTAAAAACGAGTTTTGTGGCCTTTGCAACGTCATCGCTGCGGTTCCACGCGCCATTTGCATTTTAAGTTATTTTCTTTTAACTGTATCAAGCTTTTCGGGTATCTTTGTGACTTTGTCGTGCAGCGTCGAAAGTAGAGATCCGAGCACATACTACTACGTACTTACTACTACATACTTTGACATACTTATTTATGCCCATAAATGGAGCACTTATTTTTAGTGCAAAAAAAAAACATTATTCTGAGATCATATATAGTAAATATTAAAAATGATTGAACACTTTTTGATTGATATTTAAACAAATTATAGAAATGGGTACTTTGAATATAAGATCACGAAGCAATATTATCGGCATTTTCATTTTTGTTTCTTTTCGCAATTCGGACGAAATAATGAAATTATACAAAGAAGAGTATTTCAATTTTCGTATACATGTGTTCGAGTTTCGAATTTTTCGCTTGTCAATTGTCACTCCATGTGATGGTTGCGCAGGCGCAATGCAACGATGTTGTCTGTTTGTTCTCACAATGAACGAAAGTGAAGGTGCATAATGCCGCCTTCGCGGTTGCAGTAGTACGATTCACTGCGTCTTGCTGTTGCTTTTGCTTTTGGTTTGGTTGCAAAATGTCAATAAAGTGTGCAATGTAAGTTTTGGTAAAGCACGGCTGACAATTTGGCCCACTGATTCAACTTCTATTTGCTCAGCTGCGCATTAGCTATGGCGTACAATAAATCATCAACCAGACGAAAAAAAACCCATTTTATTGCTGCTGCATACTCGCACATTAGTTATTTTTATTGTTTTATATTACCGAATCAATTGTTTGATTGTCTGGACACAATAAACAGTCTTTGAGAACGAAAAGACTTTGTATCGGCAATTTTCTTTGTTTTACTTACTCAATTATTGCACGTCAATGTGTCATTAGGTAATAAAACAAAATTCTCGTGCAATATTAAATGTTTTTAGTTTAGCCGACATATGATAGACTAACTAACTAGAACACCCAAATATATATAACATACAGAATAAAATATAATTTTGAAACCTAAACAAAATAAACGTTTGGTTTTTTTCTAAGGCCTTGGCATTATTTCAAAAAAGTTTTATTATTTTGATTAGTAAAATCAACAAAATACAAAAGGAGAAAATTGTTGTGGAAGAGAAGTTTTGTAGACTTTTTAAATTGTTGAGTGTAGCCCCATCCATAAAGCTAGACATACTATAGGTATATCCATATCTTTCATTTTTATTGCATTAACACATTTATTAGATGCCGATCATAAACTAAACAAGGCCAAGCGATGATAAGCCTTGAGAAAACGTGTAATAATAGTAGTAACTTATCTAATTGCAAAAATTACGCCACCGCGATTCTTTGTAAGTTTTGTTATACATTTTTTTAGAGTCTCGGCTATGGTTAATTTTGTTGTTTTTGTTATGCTGGGCTTTTAACAACTCATGAGTAATTTAATCAACAGGCAGGTTAGTTCTCTAAGACATAAACAAATTCTGATCATTAGCAAAACCAACATTCGCTATGCTTTGTAGAAAGCTTGCTTATAAGCGATAAAAAAGTAAACACCAATAATGAGGATCTAAAAATCAAATACTTGTACTTGTATGTGTATTGTTCAAAATTTGATTAGGAATATTTTTTACTTTGTATTAATTTAATTGGACGTCACGGTGAACGCGTCATTTGATCGTTAATACTGGGCTTAATAATATTTAGATTTGTTAACGAAATTTGTCGTTCCCATGCTTTTGTATTAATTATAATTATAATTAATTATGCGTCGAACGCTTAAAAATGTTGTTTATGGGGTTTTCTGTTCATTTGCAGCTTGGCACACATAAAACAAAAACGATCGTCATAAGCGTTCAAAATACAACCGAACCGCGCGCCACGAACGCCAAAATCTCACTGAGCTGCGCCTCGTAGCTTCTGCGTAGACAAAGACGCTGCTCAGAGACTGCGCCAACGGCTGCGCAGGTGGCGTTGGAGTTACCAGCGAGGCGTCGCGGTCGCAGCTTGCTTGACCTAAGGTAAGTGAAATTTGCCCAATTCGACTATCTTGCGTGTGTCTGTGGGCGTGAATGTGCCTGCGGGCTATTATCGCCAAAGCTAGAAGCCAACAAATGCTAATGTCGCGCATAAGACGTGCCTTTCGGTCCGGCAGCGGATGGGGGAAACAAAGGTATTTTTGTACTAAATACACGTATTTGTAAGTGTTGGATAATATAAGCAAACAAGCACGCTTTACTTCGCGACTATCACTTGGTTTATTTTGAGTCACTGGCAAAAGTTTATGCTACTAGTCGAGAGTACGTACATGGTTTCAATATAACAAGAGTAAATTCTAATGTCGGGTGCCCCTACTATGAAATACTCTGTACCTCTGTATGTCAATGCATAGAGTTGAGCCAAACCAGCAACAACAACAACAACAGCTGAAGGCAGAACAAGACAACTCAGCCAATTCCAGATATCAATTTGTGGCGCAAGAAAAATGCTTACGATTATATATTTATGTATTTATTATACACGGGTGTTTCCCAATTTAAATTGTGATAGTTTTCAGAACATTTCTGTTGGAGTTAACCAGTAGCTAATTACTTTATTGGGTAACGAAAGATAGTGAATAGAGTATATAGGTAAATATGTATATTTGCACCTACATATCTATGGACTATGTTTTTTGTTTTTATGTATTTATGTGTATGCATGATTGCGATATTTAGTGTAAGAGAATTTTAATCTGGCTTCGATATTCATTGAATAGAAGTTGAATTAGACAGCGACTTTTGGTCAACTAGAAAAAACACACTGACTTTCAAGAAGACTCTCGATAGTGACTTTGATTTTTCTTGTTTTTATACTCTTGGAGATCTTTGCAATCATGCAGACAGGCGGAGGGCGGACATGACTATATCGACTCGTCTTGTCATACTAAACAAGAATATACTTGTATGCATGTATGTACTATATATGCTTTGTGGAGTCTGCCACGCATCCTTCGAAAGTTACATACATTCGCAATGAACTAGTATACCTTCTTACCCTTTGGGTACAGGAATTTTTCGCAGACAGGTGGTTTTTATAACCTGTACCCTATATTGTAAGTATATAAGTTTCCGAATTAGAGATTATGAGAGATTATACTCGTACATGTATTAAACAAGTAGAGATGCTAAAGTCGGGTGTCCCGACTTTGAAATATTCTCTACATATGTGTAGAATAATTATGCGTGTATGTGTGTGTTCAAATTTTGATTAAATAATGCGCGATGCATTTAAAAAATAACTTATGCATATGATCAATGAAAAAACTTCAACAAATCCAACTCAGATCCATTTTAAGGCGAAATAATGCGTCATAATAATGAACGTGTGGTCGACTTTATATGGCAAAATTTTAGGCCTACGCCCTTGAACTAAGCACTGGTGTTTAATTACAACTACAGTATACTTTACTCAAATAGTTGTTCATCGTCTTTCCAATAGTTTCTAACCCTGCGTCAGAATACGTCAGAAACGGTACCAAAGTCGTTTTTTTTGCACCAAAGGGTAAAAAAAATTATTGCATGTTAGAAGAATAATGTAAATACAATTATTGATAATTTTCGAGTCGGTGTCTTTGCCATATACCAACTTCCTTAAAAATCGGTCTATTATAATGAAACTTTGCATACGGACTCAGAATCACTAACTGGAGATATTTGACAAATTTGAGATCGAAGTTCTTTGAATTACGGGAGTTATCGAAAGTCAGTGAAAATCAGAATTAAATTTTCATTTCAACACTCTTAAAAAACCAAAATGTCTATGAAATTGAACTATTTTTTCTTTACGGTATTGAATGATATTTCGCCATATTGGGTTATTCTCTCCAATCATAATCAGTGATTATAAGAGGGACCTTTTAACTAGTTTTTAAAAAGGAGGTTCTTAATTTGTCTGCATTTTTTTTTATTATTATTAATTTATACTATATACGAGTATAGCTTAAAACCCACACAGAGCTCTGCAGAAAGTAATGGCCCCTTGGCTGCTACGCTTAAGATAACGTATTATAACAAAAATAGACATTTTTAATGATGATTAAGTAGTCCGTGTCAGTAGTATAATAAGCTTGTCTCCAAGCTGTGTTGATTAAAGTATTTCAATTTAAAAAATCGCAGCTGTTCCAAAAAAATAATAATAAAAATTGTAGAACTGCACATGATTGCGTCCACACAAACAAATTATTGTAAGTATAATTTTCATTTTGTACCACAGCAAAAATTAAATGCTTTGCCTTTTAAAATGTAATTAATTTTTAATAACATGCGCATTCGATTATGTTGAAAGGGTTAATCTGATGTCGTGTGTTTGGATGGCTGAGGTTTTTTTTTAATGTTTGCCGTTAGTTTAATTTATTTTAATATTGGTTTTGATAAGGGGCTTAGTGGAATTGCCATATAGTGAGCATATGTATTTAAATACACTTCATTAAAAAGCAATTGACCATTGAACTATCGTGTTGTTTAAAAAATTAATAAAGCTTTTCATTTCTGTAGAGTGTTATACTTGAGTTCTTCTACACGTATCTACAAATAGAGATAACCTCTGGAATAAATTTAAATTTAAATGTATTCATTGAAAATAGTTTTTATTAAATGTAAAAATTACACCACTAATTCAAAATGCGTGGAAGGAAAGTAATAATAATAATATAAAGCTGGGTCGGAGTGATTCAAAAATATAAAAATATCCAAAGGCTTTTTAGTGATTAAATAAATTGTGCAAATAAACTCTTGCTTACTGCACAACTAATTTTGTTATTTTATTTTTATATACGTGTATAAGATAAACTGCAAATTTATGGCCAAAGCTAAGAGCAGTTGACAAAAAGTAAAAGCCACTTACAAATTTCCCCAGACATTTCTCAAGCGTTAGCACGGCATAAATCTTGTGTAAACAAATCGCAATGACAGTTGTTTTGCCATCACCGACTTCTCGCTATACAGGGAAGGCTCACACAATAATGTGACGCTCTCACGCAATTCTTCGTTCGGGGTGTATGCGACGCAGGGCATTACATTTTATAGCATTTTCCTCTAAGACATTAAAAACAAAAGCTAACGGTCGGAGAAGTAAGTGTTGCGTTGGTCAGCAGATATGCTCTTAGGTACTTAGGACGAGTTGCGCATACGCCATGTGTCAGCGACATAATTTGCCAGCCTTGCTGCTTAGGTAGGTTCGCCTTGTTGTTGTCGGCTCTGGTTTGACTTTTACACCTTTTGATTTATGCACTAAAACATCATGAAAAATTGATGCTTTAAATTACGTGCGTCTGAACTTGTTAGTGTCTGCCAAATGTTTTTGCCGCCGGTATGCCAAGAATGTGTCTCCGGGGTGTATTAAAAGTAAAGTGTGACCACAAACGTGAGATTTGCACGTGCTGGCCATTTGTATGAATCCTAAATGTATTTAATTTTTTCATTCAGCTGCATAGGTCATTTGCTTAATTGAATTTTGACACAGATGTGCAAACCACCATGGGAATACATATATTTCAATTAAATTGAATTAAATCTTCGAAATTATTTGCCAGCACTCGGATGGTTGGATTATCTAACTTGGTTACATGTAAATTTTTCGCCCAGGAGCCAAGACATTTGCCAAATGACTTTGCCTAGGCTTGATAGATACCAATATCGTTTTTGGCATGCAATTTGCAAGTGCTTTTTGACTCAGAGGACACACCACAAACAACATTTCACCTCAGCAAATTGTATGGCATTTTCATTTGCACCAGCTGGAAGTAATGCTTTTAACATGGCTCATATACAGGCGTAGAGATACAGAGCAACAGCAACACATTATAAATGCAATTCAATTTCATTTTGTTGTCTTATTTCCATCTAAAGCGCGCCATATGCGCTTTAAAGCTTATGTATGTATATACTTGTACATATAAGTAGTACGTACGTACACGCCCAAATACCCAACATCACCCCCACACATTTAAATGTAGCTATGTATATATACATATACGAGTATGTATATATAAATATATTTACTGCAAAAATAACTTGAAGTCCCGATATACTTGTACAGCGCACAAAAGCAAAGGCAGACAACGTTCTTGGCATGCCACAAGTGTGCATGTGACTGTTGACTCCTTATTGTTGCATACTTTTCGGCGCCAGTAGAAAATGTGAAGCCAAGTGCATTTGCATAGCAATGATATTAATCATACGCCTCGTGCAGCTCCAAGCTAATTGAGCTGTTGGATTGCACATCACGTAGTCCATAACAATATTAAGTCGCTTAAGCGCTTTTTAAAGCTGCGTTCGTGTAAAGTATTTTCTATATATTTAGTGCCAAGTGCGTCATGTGAGGGTGCCCCAGGTCACTACACGGTATAAAAATGGTTCTAGCTCACGCGAGCAAAAGTAGGAGCAGCAACAGTAGCAGCACTCAACATGTCTTCACTCGCATGCCAAGCGCACCACATTTCGTGCGTATAAAAATCTGCAATTCATGCAATTTTCATGGAAAATTTGTTACGCAAAAAGGGAAAGCTACAACAAAACAAAAACAATCAAAAAAACATACAAGTAGAATTGGGTAGGTGCACGGCATATTCGCTTGTGTGTATATGCTGGAATGTGTATTGTGTGTCTGGAATGTCAAAATATTTGTATGTTTGGCATTTTAAGCTTTACAATATTTGCTGTAGCCATTTCTAGCACCATAAAAACAAAGGCGGTGCAGTTGGCCCATTGTCTTTCGAAGTGGCTTTAAGTAACAAGCCAAATTAATTTGCTAAGCACGTGTCTTACTTGCTCGTCTTGTGTGTGTGTTTGAGTGTGTGTGTGTGTATGGTCATAAGTAGAAAAGTTCCAGATGTTTGTTATACAGAGTATAGGGTGGCTATGGTTATGTGTAATCAGTGGCACTTGACACAGCCTACAGCTTGTTAATGGCATTTTGTGTTGACATATAGACAAAGACAGACTAATCATCGATACATTTTCACACAAATTCACACAAAAATCTATCGTTTGCTTTTAGCGTGCGTGCGGCGCATATTTTATTAGGTTTGCGCATTCGTTTACTAAATGTTTAATTGAAACGCTCAGAAAAAGATTCATCAGTACCCGACAGCTCGTTCAATCTCCAGCATTTCCAAAATGTAAAAAATCGCCACCAACCAAAAGTAAGGCGTTGGTCCTGCAACAAAAATGGTTAAATCAAATTTTTGTTTAATCAAAAACAACACTTCTTACCATACAGGATAAGCCAGCGTGTGTACAACACCCAAATGGGCACCTTCTTCTGAGTAGGCTCAACCAATAGGAAAATTATGAAGCAAAGAGATAACGATGTGGTGACTACGGACGTCACCAAATATACCAGTATAAAGTGACGTATTTGCTACGGAGTGACCATTTTTTAGTATAAAATAAATTAAATGCATATAAATATTCCTTAAAGCAGGTATTTCCACTTCGATTAATTAAAGGAATCGACTACTAGAGTTGAGCTCACTTGTACCCTCTTCAGAAAAGCTATATCTGTTCCCAAAAACTCACGACACTGTGTTATAACATTTCTTAGAATTAAATGATTGTGATGTAATTTCAAATGATCTAGGCGCTCATTCACACGGACATTTCTACAGTGATTTGTCTTCTCACGTTCATTTAGAATATGTATATGTATAGTACTTTTTCCCTCTGCCTATTTTGGCTTTGTAGTTTAGAATTGTTACCCAAGAGTTTCATAGTGTAGGTCTGATCCCAAAAACATAGGTTCTCAATTGAAATAACTTCAGCAGAGTCAGCCCCAACATCAAATACGATTTCATGATCAATTGTCTAATATATGTGCCTATATGGCTGGCGTAAATTGTATTTTTTATTCTGAAAGGCGTTTTCATTGCATTAGTACAACTTACCCGGCCTGCTCCCACAACCAACAACACTCCGGTTAGTAACTGCAGGCAAAATAGAAAAGTTCGTGGCAGCAGGTAGCTCGGTAAGGGGAAAAGTCCGAGCGTACTCGTCATATTTTGACAGTTAGGACAGTCGCGCCACACAATTATGTTTTCTGTAGGCGGATACAAAGGATTAATATCTGTGGATTGTCGGAGCGTCAATTTGCCTACCGTCTGGGCGAATAAAGGTGGCCAAACGTGTCACTGCCAAGACAATTTCTATGAGTCCAATGTATATGCAGGTGAGCTGCAGCTCGAGACGACAACAACAGCAGCACAGCGGAAACATCTGTAGTTTATTTTTTGAGTTGAGTTGAAATATAATGCACAGCATTGGGGTCAGTTTGTGCTGTGGTTGCTATGACGGCAACACCTGCCAGTGCACGTGGAGTTGCTCATTTGGGTTGACTTCTGATTGGCGAAATGCAGTTGCTGCGCATTACGGGATGTGCTTGGACAATCATCGGCAACTTCTGTTACGGTAGCCGCATTAGGCAAGGTCAGCTTTGTTTTCGGAAGTTCCTGTTGCACGTCGGGCTCATCAACCACATCCATTTTAATGGTCTTGCCTGCCGGTGTTATAACGAGTATTTGCATATTGCTGTTGTTGTTACTTGTATTGTTGGTGGTCGTGTATCAACGGAACTTCTTCTAGCAGGCCAAAAGCGTGATTTGTATGAATTGGTGAGAATGCCAAAAGTATTTTTTAAGTACCTTAATTTTGTACAAGTATCTGTATGCTGACTGACAATTTAAATGAGCTTCTATTGCTTGCCTACATTTTCTTGGCAGCCATTGAAAGTGCCAGCCTGCTTAGCTATGGCTCGTACGAAAATTTCACAGGAACAACCTTTTAAATAATGAAGGCCACGATGGATAGGTCCCCTATTTCCTTCTAACCCGCATTTCTCCTTTAATCCTTCTGCTGCGTGGTAGATTTCCAAATGCTATGGGTGAGCTAGAAACGAAAAAGAGCCCCACATACTCCCCCTTCAAATTCAAACCTATGCTAACCCGCTTAACTGCGCCTGTCTTGTCTGTGTCTCTTTGATATTGCTGGCATGTGCGTGCAAAGCGGGAACATAATTAATTAAAATTAATTACAGTTTTTGTGGAATTAGAGCCTGCGGCACTGAAAAATTATGTTGGCTGGCTAACGTACAAAGAATTTATTTGAAAGATGAAGGTGTACACATGACCACAAGTGCCTTATACATATGATGTCGGTGACAATTGGTTTTGCGACTCTTCTCTTTCCTTGCAATATGAATTTGGAGCAACTCCCACTTCAGCTGCCTCAATTGTGTGGGTCTAACCCCATTAGCATGAGTTCGTAGTTGAAACAACGTCAGCAGAGTCGGCATCAACAGCAGCTCAAGTGCCTGTGCACAGGGGCTAAGGGGCACAGGGGCACAGGGTGGCCAGTTAGCTAAAAGGCGCGCTGACATTTATAAATCAATTATGCAACGATTGCACGCTCATTAGTGTCAAACTCAATTAACGCTGTGACATCAACAGCGCCAGCAGACACTGCAATAGATGATGAGCCATAGATGATGGCTGGCAACAGTGCTTGGGGGCGGCTTATGTCACAGGGCAACTCTAAAGTTGAATTCGCTAATTGGGGGCTAAACTTTAATTTGCATCGGTCGCCCAAGAGAGTTTAATTGGAATTATTTTAGAATAAACTACACTGATCAAATATGATTATAACCATAGCGCTTATATTAAGTCTCAGTAGGACGTCTTCAAGATGAGCCGCGTTCAACCCTTAAATCTGTGGCATTTCTGCGATGCATTTTCCAGAATGTCATAGGCACAATGTTGGTTTACTTTAAATGTTACCAAGTCAGTTGCAAATATATAATAAATAACCCACACGTTTCTTATAGAAACATACATATGTAAAGAAATTCATTGTTGTTCACTTATGTCTTTGTTTTAAAACACGTGCCTGTACAAGAACAAGAATGTTGTTCCGTTCAATTTGTATAACCTGTACTCAAAGGGTAAAAGGCTATACAAGTTGTGTGCTAATGTATGTAACCGGCAGAAGGGGGCGTGGCAGACCCCACAAAGTACATATATTCTTGATCAGTGTGACAAGCCGAGTCGATATAGCCCGTCTGTCTGTCCGTCTTTATGAACGCAAGGATCTTATCAAGTACAAGAGCTAGAATAACCAAACTTGATATCAAGATTCTCCTGAGTCCGAGATGGAACGAGTTTGTTCCCTCACAATTCGTGTTTTTCCATAACTCCCGTATTTTTTATGACGTTATAAAGTTTATGAAGTTATAGCCATAAATAAATATTTTCTCTGCCGAAGCTCTGCTCGTAGCTGTTGTTGTTATTGCTGCTTGTCTCTCTTGTTTTTTTATATTTTCTTGGCGCACACATCCATCATTATTCTCAACAGTTATTTTGATACAAGCCTGATGAGACGAATGAAAATACGATTTTCGCTGATAACTTTATGAGTGTTATACATAGCGTCTCATGATTTGCGAAGGTGTATGAGTGCTTCAACATTATCTGAAGCTTAACCAAGATCGGAGCGCTTTGTCCTATAGCTCTAATTTGTGGTATAAAACAAAATCACTTTTAACTGTAGAAACTTTTCTGTCTATGTCTACCTGGGAGCCAAATATGAGTCGACAATAGGTATTAGGAACTATTCATTTTAGAAAAGGATTAAATCGCAACTGTTGTCGAATTTTACATGTCATAGACAATGGATATGGATTTCTTTCAGTAAAGCACGCTAGGCAACTAGTATTTTTTTATATCATAATTGAAATCTTGCATAAATGCGAACAGAAGAGTTTGAAGCAGAAAGACATGCAAACAAGAAATCGGTACGTTATATAGAAGTACATAGTATACCTACGTTCTCGTATGTGTGTCTACACCTGTGTACGGGCTTGATGCATCTGTGTAGCTAGTGTGTCCTTCGACTTGCCATTTTATTATGTACCTCCATTCAACAGGAGCCTGAAGCGGGCAGTTGGAGCAGCAGTCTGTAGTCACCAGTGCAACACATGTAGTTATGTTGTCTCTCTACACACAATATGTGTCCATGACACACTTACAGTGTGCCCGTGTCGTTGCGCGAGCTTATGTGTGAATGTGTGCACACTTTTTGATTCATATCTCAATGCTTGTATCTGGCCAGAGACTATATCTTACCCTTAACCAAGCAAACATGTTGGCTTTGGTTGCTCTTGTTGCTATTGCTCAGATTCAGCAGCAGCATTGACACGCACTTTGTGTTTGCTTTCCACTGCTCGATGACCATGCCAGTCGGCCCACGGCAGTCGACCACATATACATTGAGGTCAGTTGGCCAGCGCCAAGTGCCAGGCTGCTATTCGCCATTCAATGCATATTTACATAAGCGTTCGCCTTGATCAAGTGATGGATTCTGCTCGCTCGCTGCTCCGAGCTATGATTTCCTTCGCACCCACATTTGGGCCATTAACACGCAATCATTAGCGACGATTGCTTCTAGGTTCACTCGTGCGCCAAATTGAATGCAAACAATCATCAATCACGGAGCAGACAATGTCTTGTGGCTGGGGATTCGTCGAGCCTTCGAAACGTGACCAATTTAATTTGGCGACATCAATTAATAAGCACTAAAACTACCGCAAGCATACTGGCGACCAAATGTCAAACTAATTACACGCGCAATCGCCCTATTAACACTAGCCAACATAAAGTGAAATGTTTTTCATATACTATACATACAAGTACATATATTTTTCAAATTACGATATGTTGATCATAAAATATATAAATAAGCTAACTTTGCCGAAGCTATATGCCTGTCACTGTGTCCTACAACATGCCCTAACAAATTTTATTTCTCATGCTCAGAAATGAATTAAGTATGTACACGTACATACATACAAGTATATCTTAGTGTTTTCGTACTATAAATATTTTAATAATGATCATTATAGCCTGTACCCAAAGGGTGAAAGGCTATACTAGTTTTGGCGAATGTATGTAACACACAGAAGGAGGCGCAGCAGACCCCACAAAGTATATATATTCTTGATCAGGGTGACAAGCCGAGTCGATATAGCCATGTCCGTCCGTCCTCCTGTCCGTCTGTCCGTCCGTCCGTCCGTCTGTATGAGCGCAAGGATCTCAGAAAGTACTAGAGCTGGAATAACCAAACTCGGTATCCAGATTCCCATAAGCCCTAGGCAGGTCAAGTTTATTTTTTTATTCTGATACACCCCCCACTCCCCCGCAATTAGTGTTTTTTTTTCATAACTCCCGTAGTTCTTGGAATCTAAAATTAGGTAGCTAGATCCCGTTAGTGATTATGTGTCTGTATACCAAGTTTCATCATGATAGGTCAAATCTGAAGAAAGTTATAGCCATAAGTAAAATCGCTGCTCAGGCGCTGCCTGCAGCTCTGCCGGCAGCGCTGCCCGCAGCTTTTGTTGTTGTTGCTGCTTTGGTTCTACTTTATGCTGCATAGATACACGCATACAAGCACGCATAGCTACGTGATGTAAATGTATGCTGTTAAAACTGAACATAAACATGTATTCTAATTTAATTTAATTAATTAATTCATTTTTTTATTTATTTAAATTTTTTTGATTTTTGTGGAGAGTACATGCTATTTTACTGTCGGGCTTGCTCGACTGTAGCGTTCTCTCTTGTTTTTTATTTCTTTTGCATTTGTGTGTGTCATCATCAAGGGCATAGGCAGGGAGGCCGTTTCCGCCCCTACAAAAAATTTTGCAATATAAAGTCGGATTTGTTGAAGGTTTTTCATTGATCATATGCATAAGTTATTTTTTAAATACATCGTTCAATTTTTTATCAACATTTTAATGTTTAATAACTTTATAATTGTCTTTCGTTATTTAAAAGCAAAATTGATATTTAAGAACTCTTTCAAGAGAAAAACTCTTTTTATACAAAAAGAAGCCAACGACCAAAATTGTTAGCCAAGAGTGTAATAAGTTCTTAAGTACATACATATTAATTTGAAGATATCTGGGAGTAAAATGGAAACGTTTTACTGGCCAGTTTCTACAAGTTTTGTATTGCCACTATTTTGCATAATTTCACTATCTGTCCTAAGCCTTAGATTTGTCAATCAATGTGATGGTCAATTAGTTTACGCGCCCCATAGCCGCAAGTTGCCGCTGTTTCGAGTCTCTTTAATTAAGGCGATCAAGCGGCAAAGTCGTGTATACATAGATATGTATGTTTGGTGGTTACAATGTGTATGTAATATGCGGCGTATTTGTCGCGTTTAATATGACACACATACGTTGAAGTAAATGCATATACAGTGCAGTGTCCCGCACTGCGCAAAATGCACCCAGTCGCATATCTATGTAAGTATATCATGGGACTAGATTCATAATCTGTATGTTTTTAATGTCAATGGCGCTGAGACAAAGTGCGCATAAAGTGCATTCAAAAGGGCATTACCGCCGACTGCAAAAGCCGAATGCTCTGCCCGCTCATAGCTTTTATGCAAATTCGCTGCACCTTTTCATTTGCTTTTTTTTTTATCGTGTGCATTTTATTGTACGCTTGCTTTTTTTGTATGCCTGTCGACGTTCAATTGGCTAGCGATTCGATTTTATTTGATTTCAGTTTTTGTCGCTTTTCTGTGAACAGCTTTTGAAGTCAACGTGGCCAACTGTAGAAACATTTGTTTGTAGGATACGACTATGTATGCAAGCGTCTTTTAAACCGGCTAG